TTTAGTGATCTTTTGGCGTCTCCTTGTGGTCCTGTTTGATATTGCAGCTTGACTAGTGCTTAATTGTATTAAAAATGCTCTAAACAATTTTATTTTTTATTTTATTGAATTTTTTATTTTTTGCACTATATAGTAGGCTATATAGATAAATTGTAAAAAGGTATGGGGGAAGTAGGGGGTTACTATTTGCCCGTCACTGTATGCCATGGAAGAAACAGTCAGTCAAAGGAGTAGGCTGCACAATTCTGGATAAATTGATCACTATTTTTTATTTTTTTGTATCAAATAGAGATCATGATCCTCCTACAGATAACTAACCCACTTCTCCAGGCACCACTGGTCATATATATATGGTTATTTGTATGTATGCATGTATGTATGTACCAAGAGTTCCTGTAAAACCACAACAAATTCCTTGTGTATGCGCACACTTAAGTGGTGAATAAGCTCATTCTGATTCTGCTTCTAATATAACTAGCATACATGTTTCACTTTTTGTGAGAAGAAAGCACCCCTAACAACTTCTGAAAGTGAACGGTAGTGTTTTACTCAAGCATTACATAAAAATGTCATTTTAACATTAGTGTAAACATTTTAACATGAGTTAAGGAACTGAATAATAAAAAGGACAAATAAAACACTGCTTAGTATTTACTCTTTGAATTCAATATGCACTGATTCTTATTTAAGCTACAAAAGTTATTTAGGTAAGAGCAGTGAGTGATTTTAGTAAGAAATGGTTATAAAAACTGAAACAGAAGCGAAACAAGTAGGAAAGAGGAGAAATAGAAAGCGATACTTATCTTTTGCCGGTGTCCCTGCCCGGGTGGAGTCGCACGGTAGAGTCGATGGTCTTTACACGAGGAGGCCTTCACGCGACCGCTGCTAGTCATGAAACTAGAGTGGTAGTACTTATATGGTCGTGTGTTGTTTTCAAACCGTTTATTAACAGCAGATAGTTGTTTGTCAATATTTAGCTTTGCTTTTGTGGAGATCTCGCCATAAAATGTTCGTCCGATGATAGGATGTCCTACCTGCCTTTTAACCTATGTATCTCCGCACAGCCAATAGCGAGAGTTCGGGGCGTGGCTACAGTAGTAGGCTGAGCCGGAGGGTGTTCAGTCTGTTATAGAGCGACATTTGCGACAAAACTTTGGATCACGTTGTAGAAGTGCAAGCAAATTTCGGAAACTTACCAAAATACACGTTGGCAGACAACAAGTAAACGCGGTAAAACAAGTGTAAACACTGGCAGTGGTTTTAAAAGATTTTAATGGAGTGTTTGCCACAAGATGAACGTACAGAATATATTTTCGACAGGTAAGCTAAACTTAAGTATTCCTAATTAATATGTTGGACCTTTTATAGAAAGTAGCTACCTACTTATACCTGTTGACACATACCTTCGCTTTTAAACACATGTAAGAGCTGTGTTTGTGATGTTTAAGTTAGGGAAGGCCTGACACGTGAAAGTGGCGTTTGGAAAGGTTGTTTGAAAACATGCCGTTATTTTTGTAGTTCCACTAGATGACAGTAGCGGTGCAGAAACTGCATACTTGTAGGCATCCTTGGGCTTTTTTTACATTTGACTCTTTTGACAGAGTTTACATGTGGCTTATGTTGTGTTTTAAACCCCGTTTTCTCTTTATGATTTTCAGTCTTTGATTGTTTTTTTCACTACCCAATATCGTCTGTCTAGAGATGCTTGTAATCATTATTATTATTTTGTGCTCATGTTTGTGGTCTTTTCCCACCCATTGTGTTTTTTAATGGTTTATTTATTTATTTATTGCTTGCTTGCTGTTTTTTAGGCTAAATTAATCAAGTTACTTAGACATCCACTTTGACGCCATGTTTCTTCATTTAATTTAAATCAGACCTAAGACCTGACTGTATGATACAGTCTGTATCTCATGTCCCCTCTAGTTGTTTATGATCCTCAGGCTGTTCTGTTTATACAGTCCTCTTTGCTTTTAGTTTATTTCCTTGTCTATCTACAAAAGTAGCTACTGCGTCAAACCCTACAGTGTTTTCCTAGATTTTCCTCCTAATGGATTTTCACAAAGCCTAAATTAATCTGCTTAGGTCATGCAAGCATTGACATCTATTACCAGGGCAGGTGGTAAACACTCACCTTTATATTTTAAATGAGGCAGAGCAGGGTATATGAATGGCCTGTTTAGTGTCAAGATAGATCATCTGACAAAGCAAGTGTAAGAGAATATAAAAATGGGTGTAGCATCACAGAAACAAGTAGCATATTTCACACTATTGTACATTTTCCCCTACATCCAGTGCAAGTTTAAGTTTAGAGACAAATCATGTTAGAGGCAGTGAATAAGATCTTTCTAGTTGTCTAGCACCTGTCTAGACATATGCTGTTGTAGAAACAAACAATTATGTCAGCCATTATGTATGCAAGGCACATTCATGCATCAATATACATGTATTCTCTATTCAAACACAGGCTCATCTTAACTATTTCATTACACTTTCTTTCCGAATTTAACGTTGTTTTCTATCAATGTTTGAAACAAATTTTAGCATTATCTTTTGAGTTGCACACAGTGCTATTCAATATATTCTGGAATTTGGAGACTTTTTTAAGTTAAAACAATAGTAGGAACAAGTGGTAACTTTATTTTTAGGCCCTTTTGTGAATATCGGTGGTCCTCTATGGTGCTTACTTCACAGGACTATGTGTTTACAGGTTAAAACAGCAAATAAAAGGAATTACATGTACCATTATTACCGCTAAACAGACACAACATTTTCAAAATTTCCTCCTGTTGCTTTCCTTCGGACGCAATTCAAAGGTCACAAACACGTGTGAAGAGGCAGAGACTAATGTAACCCCAGTCTTCTGGTGTAGTGTTAGAGGAGAGCCAGTCACTTCATGCTGACCGCTGGTCCACTCTCGTGATTCCTCCTCACGTACAAGCAGCGGCCGTCCCAGAGCTTGTCCCAGAATGCAACATGCCTCGCTGGCTTTTAGCCGGGCGTTGTCCACAGCTTCCAAACATACTCGCCGTCTGCAGAACAGACCAAAAAATGTTTAGACATCCTTTCAAACAGGCTTATTAATTAATTCTATATAACAAAGCTATGTTCAGGCTAACAGTGGAGGTTTATATGATGGCTGACATCGTTCAAGCATTGTTCACCTTAACAAACTGAGACTTTCCGCACTGTGACTGTAGTAAGGGTCACCAACACACACGATTTTGTCAAGTTTTTCAATCAAAACTGAGCGTGCTTGTTGCATCTTCTCAAAGTCTGAAAACACCACAAGCACCTGCACAGACAAAATGGATAATTAAAGAGTAAATGTATTATAAAATAGGTCAAACAGGACACATGCAACAACTAACTATATACCTCAGCTTGCATGTGGAAGAGCTCTTCCTCTCTTTGTAAATGCTTGGCCACAGTGATGTTTTCTTCCTGTTTGGAAAGAAACTATTAGAATTGCTTGTTCTCTCTTTGTTTGGGAATACACAAATTTTTATTATTTAGCACCTTGACATCATGCTGTCTCACAGTCTGTAGTATGTACTCCAGTCTTCGGGTAACGCTGTTAGTCACGTCGTTAACATTTTCTTTACTGTTTTTGACGCTGATGGTGACGGTGGCGCGGTCCGGAGGACACGATAACTCCGCACAGCCCGTCATCTGAACCACTCTTGCG